GCTGCTACTCCAGATAACACATCATCATCATCATCATCATCATCATCAGTACCACCAACAGGCAGCTTCAAAATAGACTTCAACATCCGAAGAGGTTCATCGAGAGAAAACTTGTCGCCCATTGATGACTCAACACCAAGATTTGTCAAACGTGCCGATTCAGACGGATCTTTTGATTTGGAAATTACCAATGAACAAACTTTCTACATGGCTGAGTTGCATATCGGATCAAACAAAGATAAGAATCAAGTACTTGTGGATACTGGAAGTTCAGATCTTTGGGTGATGTCGCATGATCTCACCTGTATCAGTAACTCACAAAGCGGTTCAAGCCAGAAGAAGAAGAAAAAGAGAGATGCAAAAAATGTATTTGGTTATGGAACAGGGACTGGTGTCAAGTACCCATTTGCTGAAGATACCAACTCGAAAAAAGATGATGTTGAGTCAACTAAACAAGAACAACAAACCAGAGGAAAAGAAGAAGAAGAAGAAAAAGAAGAAACTCCATCAAAGTCGGAAAACGTTGGCGACGGTGCCAATAATCGTGATAACCAATACTACACTACAATCTACTACACTGAAGGACCGGGCAGCACTGATTTCCCAGCACCCGGTGGGGGAGGAGGTATAGGTTCAGGTTCAGGTTCAGGTTCCAGTTCTGCTGGTGGATCTGGCTCAAACACGTGTACTTCCTATGGTTCATTCAATACTGAAAATTCCGACACATTCAAACGTAACGACACCGATTCATTTGTAATTCAATACGCTGATAAAACTTCTGCTCAAGGTATCTGGGGCTACGACACGGTTAGAATGGGAAACATCTCAGTTCCCAATTTGAGTTTTGCCATTGCCAATCAAACCTCAAGTGATATCGGAGTCTTGGGTATTGGCTTACCTGGGTTGGAAACAACCACTCAGTACGGATACATGTATGAAAACTTGCCACTCAAGATGAAATCAGATGGTGTTATCAAACGTGTCTTGTTTTCATTGTACTTGGATACAGCAAATGCTCAAAGTGGGTCGGTTTTATTTGGTGCTATTGATCATGCCAAGTATGAGGGCAGTTTGGAAACCCTTCCCATGTTGAAAACATATAGGCAAATTGATTATCCAGTTAGATTCGAAGTTGAAGTCAGCAATATCACATTGAATAACAACGCGGGTGTTACTGCAAACGTGGCCACCGATTCAGTGGGTGCCGTATTGGATTCAGGCTCAACATTGTCTTACTTGCACTCAGACCAAATCCAAGCTGTTGGTGAAGCCCTTCATGGTGAATACTCCAGCAATGCTGGCGCATACCTTGTTGATTGCAGGTTTTTGCAAACAAACTCAACGTTGGATATTCAATTCGGTGGCAAGACCATTAAAGTACCGGTATCTGATTTGGTTTTGCAAGCAGGTAGAGATACTTGTTACCTTGGTCTTTTCGAACAATCATCAAGCTCTCCATACATTTTGTTTGGTGATAATGTCTTGAGAAGCGCTTACGTTGTTTATGACATTGAGCAATATGAGATTCACATTGGTCAAGTTTATTACACTAATGAAGAAGATATCGAAGTCATTGATGGAGAAGTAACTACCGGAGGAGGCCAAAACTCAACACGAGTAGGTAGCGGAAGCAGCGGGTCAAGCTCATCTTCGTCTTCTTCATCCTCGGGTAACAAGAATGGAGCATTTTCGGTATTCAACTTGTCATGGTCTTCTGTGGTTGCTGGGTTGTTGATTTCCATTGGAGCTACGTTGTAATGATGAGAATATCGCATGCAGTATTTAGCTTACATTTTTTTATTTTTTTATAAAAGACATTTTGCATTTTGAATGGGATTAATTGTAGGTATATCCTCCTTGTAAAAATGATAAAGTGATAAATTCACTAACAAATATACACTCTAAGTGAAAACAAACTATTGCAAAAACAATACAATAAACTTTCCAAAATTCGCATCCTGTGAGCTAGACAGCTGAAATGCTGGAAGAAGTAGTATACTTGACCTGAGCAATTGAGATTGTATTAGCATCCAAGTTGTAGAGAAGAT